GTGCGCCCGGGGAGCCGCGCGGAGGGTCCGAGCGCTGGGGCACCGCGTTTGAATCGAGCTGGGGATGTGCCAAGAGTGGTCAGAGCAGTTTGCAGCGTCCCGGGCTACTCTAGTCCCGTGGAATTTTCATGCTGGTGGACAAAAGGCACCTTGCTTGCCACCTAAAGGCAGCACATTGCATTTAAATAAAGTCTTGGGGAAGGAAAACAGGAACTGGCTTCGTTCTTGGCAGTCTGGGAGTTTGCAGCTGCTTTGGCTTGGTATGAAAAATCCATCTGTCTCAGCACACCTTCCAGACCTGTGGGTGGGACTTTGACCTACACATACAGTAAAGGGAAGGGAAAGATATTTCCACTCTGCTCTTGGGGTTGTTTTTGCAACATTTGTAATGTTGATTCAAGCAATAATAATGCGAGAGTTTCATAACTAAACATTGCTCGTGTTGGAAGTGAAATCCTCCTTGGGAAGGTGGTTCTGATTCTGCCCCGTGTCTGTTCCAGGCTCTGTCAGTATCCCCAGGAGATCGTCCTGCAGCTGGTGGAGAGGTGCCGCATTCGGAAGCTGCAGCTGCTCGCTCACCAGTACATGATCTCAAGCAAGATCGAGTTCTACATCAGCGAAAGTTTGCCTGAGTACTTCGCCCCTTATCAGTCAGAGAGGTTCCAGAGACTAGGGTGAGTCAGAGCTCTGAAAGGGTTTAATACCTGAAACAGAAAATAGCATTCCTTGTGGGCTGTATGTGATGCAAGCAGCAGGGAGATCCTGTATTTGTGCAGGTGTAAGAGGCATCTGCAGGTGAACAGCCTTGTCGGGTGACAGCACACACTGTCTGAGCTATGAGGGAGTTCTAAGCACTCCCAGGGTCCTTTCCCAGGGGCAGAAATCCACCCATATGTCTGGATGTGTCCTCTGCTCATGTGCTCTGTTTCCCCTCCCAGCTATGTCCCTCTCTCAGACAATGAAAAGACAGATTTCAAGGCTCGGGAGTTAAAGTCTGTGTACATGGATGCAGTTGGGCAGTACCTGAAGCTGATTTTCCATAAAAACTATGTCAATAAACACAACTTGTATGGACAGGTGAGTTAGTCCCTACGTGGTGATGCAGGTGATGCTTCCATAGTACAGAAGAAGTAATGAGCTTATGCATTTCCATTTTCTGTGAGTCTGCAGGTTGCCCTGGTAGCTGTGAACATCATTGGGGATCCAGCAGACTACAGCAGTGACAGCATGATCAGTGTAAGTGATCCCTTCCTCTGGCTGTTGCTCACCCGTTCAGGTGCAGGTCAGAACTTCTGTCCCGGACACACACTGATGTTGGTGAATGTGCATTAAGTTACTTTTTCCCTCTTCCAAAGCCTTCCAGAGAGAAGCTGATAGACCACTATTTGGGGATTAAGTCAGATGATCCTGCCTTAGATGGAACTTACCTCAGGTGAGGATGTTCTCTGCATTGACCTGCCAAACCTCAGTCTGATGTTTTATTAGCTCTCTAACAGGGAGAAATGAAGCCATTCCCTCAGCCTGGTGTACTGGGGAGTAACTGAAAGGTTATTTTATGTCTGCAGGAAACCTGACTCCATCTCACCTCTGGATGATTTGGCTTTTGACATGTACCAGGATCCAGAAGTGGCTCAGATAATCCGTAGGCTGGATGAGAAGAAGTGGGAAGCTGTTCATCACGAGCGCTATGACCACGCCAAGAAGCTCAAACAGGCCATTGCAGACCTGCAGAAGGTGCTGTCGAAGGATCTTTGTCTCTCAAGTGTCCCAGTGGCCCATCAGGGCCCCGATGTTCGTGTGGAATCTAATGGTTTCCAGTATAATTCCAAAATAATAGTTAAAATCAGAGAGTTTGAGGGAATAATTTGGCTGGAAGTAGTGAAACATAGACATAAGTGCAGTAAGGTGACTCCAGGAAATTTACAGCAAGGTGATTCCAAGGTAACTTGTGTCCATCCTAGGTGGGGGAGCGGCTGGGGCGGTACGAGGTGGAGAAGCGCTGCGCCGTGGAGAAAGAGGACTATGACCTTGCCAAGAAGAAGAAGGAGCAAATGGATGAGTACAGGTTGAAGGTGTACCAGCAGCTGGAGCTCCATGACCTCCTGGACGCTCAGCTGCTGGTGGGTGCTACAGGCTGAGCTCAGGAGGGTGCTGGAACTGGCACAGCGGCCAAACTGAACTCAGAGTAGGAGTTGGTACATGGTTAATTCGGAGATTTACAAAAGGGATTTCCCCAGCCAAAGACTCTCACGGGGTGTTTTATGAACGTGCTTAGTGCTCCATTAATTACCCTGAACTGTTGAGGTCTCAAGGAAATGACACTGAATGTTTTGCATCATCTCAGATGGATAAGGTCCTTGCTCATATTTTTTAATATGACTTCATGCTGATAGAAGGTTTAGATTGGGGATAAATTCTTCCCTGGGAGGTGCTGAGGCTCTGGCACAGGTTGCCCAGAGCAGCTGTGGCTGCTCCATCCCTGGGAGTGTTCCAGGCCAATTTGGATGGGGCTTGGAGCAACCTGGGCTGGTGGGAGTTGTCCCTGCCTGGGGCAGGGGGTGGAACAAGATGATCTACGTGAGCCAGGTCTGATATTTACTTGAAAGCCCCAGAATCCTGATGGTCAGACTTGTAGCTGTTCTAACTGATTTTAGCACGCTTTTAACCTTACTGTGCAACATCTCCTTCCCTTTCTCAGATCAGAAGACCACCAGAGTTGTCTTTGGGGCCTGTGGTTGATGCTGCCAGTCCTCAGCTCTCCCCTCCTGCACGCACAAACTCACCTGAAGGAGAGCCACAGCAGGCTGAGCCTGTGCTGGGAGAGGAGTCAGCAGATCCCACTTCTGCTGAGCCTCTTGTTCCCCACATGTCCCCTCCTCCCGCTCTGACTCAGCCCACAACCTCCAAGGATGTGTTTTCCGAGGAAAATGTGAGTAGTGTTAATCTCTGTTACTGCATAAAGCTGTCAGAGCAAGTGATCTGGTGTTCAGCCTTCCCAGCAATGAGGTCTGGTGGTTATTCCCATGGTTAATTGTGAAGTGACACTGCTTTGATGGGAGAAAATTGCATCAAGGTGAATCCAATTAGTGGTGAAATCACATCTGAGTCATTTCCAGAACAGCAAATTTTACCTTCTCTGTCAGGTTGAGTTTTTGCCTTATGACGAGAGGCCTCTCCCAGCCATCTGCAAGCAGGTGGATGAAGCTGTTGCCTACCTTGAGCCAGAGGTGGCTGAAGAGGACACCAGTGACACCCCGAGGAGCAGCATCACTGGGAAGCCTGAGCCGCTCACGGAGAAGGTGCTGAGGGAGGCCAGTTCTGCTGTCGAGGTGTTTGGAGTAGCTCTGGTAAGTCCTCAGTTACGTGTTCTTTTGAGGCTGTTTGTCCAGATAAGTGTTGGATATGCTCTGAAATATCTGTGTGGATCTTTTTAAGAGATGAACTTGTGCTCAGGTTTCAGGAGCATATTCCAGAACGTGGTCGTATCGAGAGGACGCACTGCTGGCTGTGTACAAGAAGCTGATGGAAGTGTCAGTGAACACTCCAAAGGAGGATTTGAGGACTATGCTGAGGGCTGCTGTTTTCCTTGTAAGGAAGGCCATCAAGGACACCGTGTCCTCAGTAAGTTGGGAGAGGTTTGATGCTCCAGTGAGGAACTGGCAGGACCATGGGGTCAAGATACTCTGAACAAATAGTTTGTAAATCTGCTGTGGAGTGATTTGAAAACCAAAATCAAACCAAATCCCCCAAAACTCCAAAAGAACTGAGAAATGTCTAGCAGTGAGCAGATGGAAAATACTGCCCTGGGCTGAGCTATGAGCTTGAGAAACAGCTGACACAATAAAAGCGCAGTGAGACTGAGCCTCTTTCTTTGTTAAAGCTGAAACACAGCAATGAAATAGCTCTTCATTTCCAGCTTGACAGACTGCACATAGCTGGAGGACACTTTGGCTTCAAATGAGCCTTAAACAAGAAGAAAAGAAGAAAATCAAGAGCTGTTACTCTTCACAAGACAGTTTCTGAGGCCTTTCACCTCAGCCCTAGCAACAAGTTTTCTGGAAGAGTTATCTGCAGTGACTTCCGATCAGGGTGTTACTGCAATTCCAGATTAAGAAAAGACTTCACAGTTTTGCCTGAAAACAGGAATCTCTGTGGTATTTTTGCTCAGTGTTTCCTTTTTCTCTTTAACCTAGGTCTTTCAAGCTTCCCTGAAACTTTTAAAAATGATCGTTACCCAATACATCCCAAAACATAAACTGGGTAAACTAGAGACTTCTCATTGTGTGGAAAAGACTCTGCCAGAGTTGCTGTCTAGAACAGGAGACTCCTCCTCCAGGCTTCGCCTTCAGGCTTCTGCCTTCATCCAGGTGGGTGTTTGCCCTCAGCCTGGGACCCACCCTGAGTACAGCACAGAGCTCACCACTGGGTCCCACTGCTCACTGTGTTCCCAGGAAATGGCACTGTGTGCTGAAGTTCAACCTCTCCAGATTGTCCCAGTCCGCCTGGTTAAAACACTAAAGCCAAACTGCCCAACACACCTGGCAATGAGCCACGTGGAGCTGGTGGAATGTCTCCTGAGAGCCATGGGCACTGGAAACTCTGGGTTTACTGTCACCAGCGTCATGAAGGTAAGGGGCACATGGAGGCTTTTCTGATGGGTTTTGCTGGGGCTTGGCTGGTTTGGAGTTCTTGGTGAACTCCTGAAGAGCTGTAACCCCTGGGTAAACAGTGCTGGTAATTTCAGGCCAGGCTGGATGAGGGTTGAAGGAACTTGGTCTGGTGGAAGGTGTCCTTGCCTGTAGCACGGGGATGGAATGAGATGAGCTTTAAGGTCCCTTCAAACCCAAACCATTCTGTGATTCTGTGATGCAGGATTGCCAGTACAGGGAAAAAGGAATCAGTAGCTCAAGAAGTCTTGGCAGAAACCTGCCTGCAGGAAGAGTTCTCCTGCTGCTGGGAAATAATGGTCCTAGACAATAAACAAGCTCTTAAAAACATGGGAAAGAGGCATAACTTTTAGTGTGGTGGCTTTTCCAGTTTGCCACAGGAGCCCTGGAGCACAGAGCCCAGGAGGTGCGTGAGGTGGCCCAGAGGATCATCTGTGACTTGTACAGGCAGCACAGAACTGATGTGCTGGAGCTGCTGCCCCCAGACAACGCGGGCGCCCGCAGGACCCTGCGCTACAGAACCCTCTTCGACAGCTTCGCCAGGATCGACGGCAAACTCCCCGAGGCTGGGGTGAGGGTGTGTGAGAGAGCAGGACACACGTGAGCCCTGTGGGCAGGACAGCCAGCTGAGCCACGGCCTGACCCCGTGGCACAGGCAGCACAGTGTCCTGGGGCCGGTGGTGAACAGTGCAGAGAGCTCAGTGTGTTCCCTGTACTCTTGGGAATAAAGCCAGCAGGGAATACAGAGAGAATCCTGC